GGTTTAGGGTTTAGGGTTGAGCCTTGGGAGTCTCCAGTCTTGAAGGAATTTAGTTTGGGGGTTAAGGCTTAGGCTAGGGTAACCCAAAGCCCTCAGATTCGAAAGCAAGCAGAACGGCGAGGTTCCAAACGATGAAGTTTCGGATGGACATCCTCCACGAGCGGTTGGAGGTAGAGGCCGAACGTCAAGAGCCCCACTGTCCAGCTCTTGTGATGCTTTGGGTTTAGGGTTTATGGCTTCAAGACATCAGAACTCTAGTGATTAGCGGATTTGGCTGTTGCTCCTCAGTCCTGCTTCCCGGACTCTACAGCCGAATACGGGAGTGCCTGCTTGAAGGCCCCTTGCATTCGATGTGACCCAATTCAACAATCGAGCCCTCAGAAGTTCACGATCAACGATATTACAGATTCCTACAGCGCACGTGGTCCTGCTTTCTGCCCATACAGAATATGTGTGCAATGACTCAAAGTCGCAAAGAACTTGAATCCCTGAACGCCCAAGCACCGCAAAGCTTGCAGCCATAAGCCAAGAGTCGGTGCTATGCTTCAAGGCTCACCTCTGCGTGTGCGTTTGTGTGTGTGACCACCCCTGTGAACAATGGCCAGGTAACTCCAGTGAAAAGTGCTGTTTGCAAGTGCGTGCGAGTCAGTCGTTGAATGCATTTACCCTTCTATCACTGCCCAACGAAGACGGTGATAGAAGTGGAGTGAAGCAATCCGGGATGCCAGATTGTATGCTTCTTACCCTAATACACCCTTAAAGCTGTTGCTTGTGCAGTGGCCAGACTTGTCGTGAGATTTAGTTGATTTCCACGGTTGAGACCTGGCGACAGAAGTTGTACCAAGTTGTGTCAAGTGTGTGGGTGTTTGTGTGGGTGTGTGCGTATGTGCGGCTGTGTCTTCACTAGCCCGTAGGATAGCGTGGAATGAGCAACAAGCCTTCCGCAAACACTGAGCGAACCCTCAACCCCGAAACCCCTAGCCCTGTACTGTGCTTCTTAAAGAAGAACCTAGGGATCCTAATCTAAACTTCTCCCCTAGTTGGAGAGTAGGACCCTGATTTCAAGTATCCCCTCAGTACCCCCCCCCCCCCCCCCGGGCCCCCGGGGTAGAGCGCGAGGAGGGACTCCTTGGGCTCCTTCAGTCGCTTCCGCTCTTCTTGCTGTGTCTGATCTGTTTCGCGGCCGGAATGCCTGCTAATTCATGTAGGGGCCTTACTAGTTGGAATAGTTTTTTTTTTTTTTNNTTTTTTGGGGGGGGGGGGTTCCTTATCATAATTATGGTATAATGGACCCCTACACCCTATTCTAAGTATTACGGCCCCTACATTAAGCTCGAGATTGAGGGGTCCCTTATGGGAGCTTAGGGCCTATACAGGGTTAGGGACCCTTCTCACAAAGATCCTACTGTTTATGGTCTGAACGATGGTCCGCAGCAGTCCGCTGTTGCATTTAAAAAGTTGCTGGAGTACCTGAGGGTTCCGGGGCTTAGGAGTTTGTACTGGTTCAAACCTGGGCTTTAGGCTGGGGCCTTTAGACTTGATAGGGACCGGTTCAAAGGGGAAGGTTTGGTGTTCAAGGTGTGCAGGGGATTAGCAGTTGGGGGTCCCGTGTAGGTGTTGACGGAAATCTTCTAGGTTTCATGGCTGTTTAGGTCGCTCGAGTCATGGCTGTGGCAGTTCGGTTCCTTGCGGGTCTTGAATGTCAAAACGCGACGAAGGCTGCCGAACTGACGAACCGGGAGGGGCGTGCAGAAGAGTGCCACAGTGAGAACCACGGACTTGATGGGTAGGAGAGATGCGTCGAATGACGCAAGCCGAGCTCTATACGAGTTCTTGAGATTTCGTGAAACCGTGAAAGAGCACAGCCACAAAATCACCGGCTGCCTATGAGGCTTCTTGCTGGCTATCAGCACACTCGCCCCCCCGGCGGAAACATCGGCAATCCATCAGCATCTCGAGTGCCTTTGCTGCCTAGAAGAGGTATCGGGCTGAGATGTTCTAGGACATAGGACAGCCCTGGGGTTCTCAATGAAGTTCGCAATGAATAACACATAATACCATTGTCTGGAATTTGTCGACATTTCGAGTTCCGGGGTCACGGAGTATCTTTAGTGCTTCTATACATTGGTTTGGGGGGCTTCTTATTAGTTCGGAGCTTTCTGTTTAGGGGGGTCGTTGTGCCAAGATTCTGGGACTTCCGGGAGCATGGGGCTTGGCCATGGCGCCACCATACCTGTAGCTGCAGTCACCCAATCTGTTCTTCTCGTAAATGACCTTCGCAACTACACCCATGCAAGAGTATCTGCATGCAAGCATGCATGCCGCTTAGGTATGTGTATATATACACACGCGCATGCACACACACACACACACCCCTCTTTGTGTGTTTGTGTGTCTTTACACTTGTGCACCCGACGAAAGGAACCCTTAGCATAGGGCCAATGGTGTCCCTCAGGAGCCATTTCTCGCTGGACACGGTGTGCCTTGGCTCTATGTGTGTTGGGTAGCACTGCTCGGGCCACAACAGCACCCGTCCCAACAGAAGTGCGTGGCTTTCAGGCGTAGAAGGCCCTTTACTCCCTTTCACGGCTACGTTTCAGTGCCAATATCAGAACTGACGAAAAAGCTTTTGTCCTAGTCCCACCAAAATCTCCTGATCTTGAAGTTCTGCTCTGCGTGCTGTCCGAATTGGGTTTAAGGTTGCAGCAATCGAACTCGTTTTTCTGAGGGGCGGCTAGTTTCAGGGGCCGAATATAGGGGCCTTAACAGGTAGAATGGGGTTATGTTATGATGTTTACTGTACTGTGCGTATGTAACATAAGGAACTTGAAGGCAAAATACGAGTCTAATCACAAAACCACCTATATTAAATCACTCCCTGCCTCTATTCAGCCCTAGAATCGCAAGCTCATCCTCTTGGAAAGAGCTTCGCAAGGTATTCGGTTACCGACCTCACCGGCATTTATAGCTTTTTAGAGACCTTCGAATCGAAGAACCAGGCACGGTGCGGAAAAAGATCACCTGCAAAATCTGTAGGGCCTGTAGGGTTGGACATCTGCGATTTAGCGGGTATAGTGATTGGAGGGCGAGCCTGACGTCCTGCACTCCGTAACCCTTTATTACACACCAAAAAGACCGGATGGAAACCCAGGCTCTAAATACAAATCAAGTCATAGCAGCTTAGGGACTGCAGGCATGGCTTGGGAGGGTCCGTTTATCGCAGCGGTTGCAACAAGCATAGGGGTGTGAGAAAGGCATCATTCTTTCGACCAGCACTAAGCACATGTTGGCCAATGCTTTTGGGCCACCACAGGGATGCACACATGAGCGAGGCTCCTAATGTAGGGGCCTAAATAATTACTTAGTATACTTCTTTGGGGCTTCCTTATTAAATGTATAGTGTAATGGGCCCCAAAACCCTATTCTAATTATTGTGGCGCCCAGATTATCTCGGTATTGCTTTGGTCATGAGCCTTGGATCCTGAGGCCTGGAAATACCAGTCCCAAATACCCCCAACGCCCCGAACCTAACCCCAAGTTTTTTCGCCCCAATTTCAGGCCCTACGCCTTGATCCTTCAGGCCTAAATCATGTCAAGGATCTTCCTTCCTTGAAGGTTTAAAGTTCCTGAGCTTTTTTGAATAAAGTTCGTGCACTTGTTGGACACTGGGCATATAGGGCTTAGCGTCTGGAGTGTAGGAGTTGGGGTTGCGAAGTTGCGGTTTAGGGTTGAAGGTGGTCCAGGACTAGGCTGAATGACTGCAACCTTCCCTTCACTGGGCTCTCCATGGTTGTTCGGAGTTGGCCCACTCCCAGAGCACTTCTAGAGGATACCAAGCTTGGGTTTGGGGTTTAGGGTAAGGGGGAGAGGGTTTATGCTCAGGCGATATCAGCATCTGGCAGAAGCCCGCTCAAACCAGCTAGGGGGCCTAAGCCCAAGCTCCAAAACCACCAAAACGCGAAGACCATAAAGCCTAAAAAGCAAAAGCAGCCCTCAGAAACAATAAACAACCCGACAGCCCCAAACCCAAGACACAACGGCAGGATTTGAGGCCAACGTCCTCAAGCTTCTGGTGCGAGAGCCGCTACTACTCGTGAGCCCTGCGTCCGGCGTTCCTTTTGTAGGGCTTCCTTTCGCGGGTTTTCAGGTTCATGTTGGCGCCAAGCCCGACATCCAAGCTTCGACACCCTTAACCTCACAATACTAACACTGTAAACCCCGAATATCGAATATCCTAAAACCCTAAACCCTAAGCCCTAAATCCCTTGACCCTAAACCCTAAACCCTCCCATTCCTGATTAGCCGCTCCTTCGATTAGTGGAACTCTCCACCTACAGCTGGCCAAGTCGCACCATAACATGATTCGAGCAACTCACTATTTATGATTATCGTATGTTATCGCTATACCATAGTTCCTACAGCTACTATTACTGTTGCATCACTGTTCTGATTAGCTTTGTTCTAACAGTGGGATTAGCTGGAAGGGGAAGGATGCGTTGAGAGTAGATCGAGTGCCCTCGTGCGCGTGGCCTCGCACACGATGTTCGTTGTTCGGGGCTGGTAGCGTTTAGGGTTTATAGGGTTTAGGGGGGAGGAGGATGCCCAGCAGCGGAGTGGTGGTGAGGACACGAGCCTAGTTGCATGGGTTAAGAGTTTGCTCTTTCGGGTAAGGTGCAGAGGGGCTTCAGATCTGGTATCTATTCTGCAGGGTTTGGTGGGTTCAGGGTTTACCGGAGGTGTGCCACCGCGACTGAAGGATCCTGAAGTTCATGTGCGCTTTGTGGAACTTAAGTTCAGGTACACCTGGGACGACCACTACTTAGTGCCAGCTTCCACCTGCCAGAGCCCGCGATTTACCGCGCTGACGCTCGGTCAGGGATGTTACTTCTTTGTCTGTCCAGTGTTATGTATCAACAATGCTTCATGTTGCTGGTATCTTTGTTGCACTATTGTAGCAGCATTGACTGGCAATCTTGTTGGGCTGGGGCATGATTAGAAGCCAGTACAGTACAGCCAGTTTTGGGTTCAGGATTTGGACAGATGTTCTTTCACTGTTTGTGGCCTCTGCTGGCATGAGGCTTACGGCGACACGACGACGGCGCCTAGGCCTAAGCTATGCCTATGCCTGCGACTACGAATAGGGCGACGACGACTATCACCGCCGCCACTTCCACTGCCACTGCTCCTGCTCCGCTGCTGCTACTGCTCCTGCTGCTGCTACTGCTCATGCTCCTGCTACTGCTCCTGCTACTGCTACTGCTACTGCTCCTGCTCCTGCTCCTGCTCCTGCTCCTGCTACTGCTCCTGCTACTGCTACTGCTCCTACTACTACTACTACTACTACTACTACTACTACTACTACTCCTA